ATAAATATGACTATTGTTGTTGAAGTACTTTATCCCTTACAGAACTTTCTTTAAAACACACCTATGAATCTGGCCATTGTTGTTGAAGTACTTTATCCCTTACAGAACTTTCTTTAAAACACACCTATGAATCTGGCCATTGTTGTTGAAGTACTTTATCCCTTACAGAACTTTTTAAACCCACCTGTGAATCTGACCATTGTTGTGAAAATACTCTAATCCTTTCAGAACTTCCTTTAAAACAGTTGCTATGGTAGATTCATCAAATACTCCATGTTTGCAGTCTTCAGTCTTCATCTTATGTTTGATAATATCCAAAAGTGATCCTGAGGGAGAATCACAACACAAGTCTATATGATGAACAGTTTGGCTTCTACATAAAAAGATAGAATATCTCAGTTGGAGGTTTGTAACATTTGAAATTAGTTTCATTGCTTTATCACCGTGCCTATGTTAAAAACAAACACATGAGATCATTAATTAAAAATATCAGAAGTACATTTATATATAATAAACATGATGATAATATGCTTTTATGATTATCAGGCTTCTATTGCCAATTAAAAATATCAGGATAACAAAAGCTACTCCACTGTATTTTCCTTGTGTTCCTTTGTTCTTACACAAAAATGTAGATCTCTTTGGAGGAAACATAAAGAAAACTGAAACCTCCAATGTTGTAGAACACGTTTTTATGAGAGAACCTGCAATCGATGAGCTCACTGACACCGACAAGTTTTAAAAAAAAACCAGTAAAGCTTTAAATATACAGAAACTAAAGCTTTTATCCAGAAGAGAGAAAGATTTGGAGATTAACAGTCTATGGTTTACCACTGTTCACTGTTTGTTCACTAATGGTCTCTGTGGTGGTGGAGGTAATGAAATACATGAAAAAGAGCAGTGATACATACCACCAGCTAAAAGTTTGATCACCAGCCACAGTTCTTCCTTTACAACAAAAGAGGTGTGGTAACTAACCACATTTTCATGGTGGCATGCACTCATAGCTTGTATTTCTTTCTGGAACCAGATCAAACATTTGCATATCAGTGTTATATGATTACATCCGTAATATTTTAAATGGTGATATACAAATGTTTGTTCTGGTTTCAGACCATTTAAAATATTACGGATGTAATCATATAACATTCTGGAACCAGATCAAACATTTGTATATCACCATTTAAAATATTACGGATGTAATCATATAACATTCTGAAACCAGAACAAACATTTGTATATCACCATTTAAAATATTACGGATGTAATCATATAACACTCTGAAACCAGAACAAAC